CTGCATGGCTAGCTCCAACATCAGGGGTGGGTAGTCTAGCCGGAGTGCCTCTTGTTGGAGTCTGGTGAGGTTGATGGTGTCATAGAACGTGCTCATGTCCATTAGGCAGGTGACTCCATGACATCCATTGGCCTTGTGGACCTCCTGGCGGAGTAGCCTTTCCAAAGCCACCTGCAGGACTTGGGCGCCCGGTCTGGCTCTGTCATGTTGCATTGTGGGTGGCAGCTGTTTTTGCCATTGGTCCAGCACTGGTTTTCTGAGTCTGCACCACACACGGTACAGAAGGGAGGTGAGTGTGATGGGCCTCTCCTTGGTGCTGGTCTTAGGCAACATGATGACCATGTGCATCTGTTGTTGTGTTGGCAGCTGTGCTTGGTGCTCCATGTCTTGGAACAGCTTGAGAAGCGGCTGCAGTGCCAACGGGGGTGCTGTGCGCAGAAGCTGGGCTGACACTGCATCAGGTCCGCATGCCTTATCCGGAAGGTGCTTGAGAACCGAGGCCAGGTGGCCAACAGTGAGGGGCTCAAGTTGTAGTGCTTGTTGTCTGGCCTGTGTTTGCAGACTGGGTCGTTCGTGTGGCTGCTCCGTTTGCCTGATCTGCCATAACTTTCCCCAGTCTTGAAGTCTTTGCGTCATCCTCTCATCCGGTGGGAGGTTTCTGTAGGGCCGCTCCCAGGCTAGTTCACTGCTTTTGAGGCTCCGAAATAGACCTCTGAGCCCTTTGGCCTCTCCTTGCTTGAGCCAGTCTTTGTACTGGAGGTGGGCTTCCTCATTGGCTGCTTGTAGTGCTTCGCGGAGCTGATGGGCTATGGTTTGCAGCACCAACTCTGCTGCATGGGTGTCTCTGTAGCGGTACCAGTGGTGACTGGTGTCAAAGAACTGGCCCCAGGTTGGCGGTCCGACCCAATGCTTTGGAACATCTTGGAGGGCCTGCGTGAAACCTCGAAGTGGACCTGTTTGAACCGTGGCCGGTTGCTTCATCGCCAGCTGGAATCTGGCTTTCAGCTGTTCCCAAAAGGCTGGCTTCCCTTTTTTCCACGTGGTGGAGATTTGGGTGGACACCAAGGGTTTGATGCTGACCTTCAGGCTTGCTCCACGTCCTTGAGCTGCCCAGGGGTGCTCCTGGAGGAGGTATTGCTCGGTGCAAGAGATCCAGTCAGCCCATTTTTGTGCCTGCTCATTGGGTGGAATGCCGTACAACTCAATCTCATAGGCTTGTGACTGGTAGGATGTCCATGGCCGAAAGTCAATATCTGGAGTCGCCGGCAACGGAGGGTAGTACTGGATCTGCCTGTATTCTTTGGTGGCTGCTTCGATGTTGAGGTGCAAAGTGATCAGTGCATGTGGTCTCCAAGGCACAGCCCATTCCGTAGTAAGTGCCGTGTTCGGTGCCAAGGTGTTGTGCAGCAAAGCATAGTCGAGAACGTTGCCAGAGAGGATGCTGTGGTCTGGGGCCTTGACATCAAAGTGGTACTTGGAAGGGAGCACCGTGCTGGTAAAGCTGTCCGGGCTGTTTTGCCAATCTCCCAGGAGGATGTAAGGGTGTTTTGTGGCTTCAACCAGGGCCAGTAGCTTGGCTAGGATAGTGGCATTGGTGTCAGTTTGGAGGCCTTCCCCAGTCTTCATATATACTCCGGCAACGAGGATTGTGCATTCAGTGGCCTGCCAAAGGAAAGCTTGGAATCCACATCCCTGCTGGGTGTAGGCTGCAAGTGGTGTCAGCCCGCTGGATTGGTCCCCAAGGATGAGGATGCCACCTGAATTGCCAGTGCCTTCTTGGTTGACCTGTGCCGGTGTTCCAAAGGCCACTCTCCCTCTAATGCTGAAGTATTGGCAGATTTCCTGGTGACGTTGAGGGTCAAGGTGAGTCTCAACAAAGATGTGCACCTCGCTTTGCCGGGCCCAGAACCAGTCCAGAAATTGTTTGCCACAGGTTGTGATATTGGCAATGTGCAACTGGCTATGCTCTTGTTCTAAACGGGGTCGCTTCTCTGGGCTTGGGTGAAGAGGTGGGTCATAGTCCGGCTCCTCTGGTGGTGGGAGCGATCGTATGACCTGTTGCGTCGTTCGAAAGGTGTCAATGTGCACCGCCCAGATTTGTGTGACCTGGCTGGCCAGGAGTGGAGTTAGGTGTTCCAGGTGGACTGGTGGTCTCCCATCATCGGCTAACCACATCAAATCTCTGTACATGAGGGCAAAATAGTGGCCTGTGTTGTGGCTGGGTCCACGATGGCATATCAGAGCCGCTGGCACAAACTCTGCAGATTCTCTTGCGAAGCCATCCAAGGAGCGAGGGACCGTGAAGGTGCCATATGGATTGAGGATCTTGGCATGCTTCGTCATGATGCCCTCCACACATGTGTTGCGGGTGATGTGGGAGATCAGCACTGGCTTGTCGTCGAGCAGGAATTGTCCAAGTCCTGTGTTGGCCCAACCATTGTAGAGATCCTGTAGGCTGGTGTTCTCCGGCCAGTCATCTGGGAAGTCCACCAAGATGGGCTGTTGGATGTGATCCTTGAGGTAGCCTCCTGTTTGGATCTCTGCATACCTGTAGTGGAATGCCCTCGTTTGGGAGTGGTTCCACAATGTGTTCACGAAATGGTTTGCATCTCCTTGGATGTTGAGGTCATGCTTGGCCCAAAGAGGATGTAGGCCTGGCAGCTCACGGATATCTACTGCTTCAGCCAGTTCGAGCGACTCTTGAACTGCCATTTGGAGATTTCCCCAAGGCTGCGTGTTGGTCTCCTGCAGCAAAGCGCATGTCCATGTGAAAGCTCGCCATGGTGCATTGGCGTAGCAGCGTGCACTAGGATTGCCCACTGTCATGGTGAGATTTTGCAAGATGCACTCCGCGGTCGAAGCGAAAGTGCTCTGCATGGCGGCTTTGTCTTGGTGGCCTGATTGGGGTGGCCTAGATGCTCCACCCCCTCGAATTTTCACCACTTCTGGCCCAGGTGCACCAAGAGATGATCCATCAACGGCCGGAGGGTGAGGTGTTGCAAAAATGTGCTCCTGTGTTGGAGAACCTCATGTACAAGAGAACTTGACCCCGCACTCTTGTTAGAGGTTTCCTTGGAGATGTATTGAAAAAGGTTCTGCAAATGGTGTTGTGAACTGTCCCCCGCACAAGTGTCCATTTGCTGAGTCCCCGCCGGTGCTGGGTTTGAGGCAGCGCGGCAAACCAAATTTGTGGTTGGTGCTCTGTCAAAATCGTCATCGGGGACCGGCACCTGGAGCCCCTGAAGCCCTTGTGGCATGACGTGCATGTTACCCACCCGACCCTGGAGGTGTTGCCATGGCCGGGCTGTCTGTTTTCCTGCGCTTGGAAAGGTCACCATCCGTGTCATTGGGTCGCTTGAGGAGCCCATGAAGCTGTGTCTTTTGTTCATCAGATAGTGAGACTCCAAGATTGGCTACGAATGTTTCCACTGCTGCAGGCAATGTGTCGATGTCCATGCCTGAATCCAAATCTGCTTGCTTTGTCTCCTTGTTGACTGCCTTCATGTAGTCCTCGGATAACAGCTTGAGGGCCTGTTGTCCATCATTGAGCTTCTGTTGAAGGTCTTGCATTTCCTGGAGAAGGGTTTGGTATTGCAGCTTTGTTTGATCCAGCTTCTCTTGGAGCTGTGTTTTCTTCGTGGAGAGGTTCTTCAGGTCCGTGACCTGTCCCTTCAGCCTGATGGCTATGTCTTGCTCTGAAGCCGGGGCTGGTGTGGTGAGGCGGGTGACCACTTCTTGGACCTGTGCTGGAAGAGCCGCCATGTGGGTTTTCAGCATCTCATGGAGATCCGGCTCTGGCGGTTTCTTGGGGCCAATGCCGAGGTGCTGGAGCTTGTCTTGTAGTTCGTTGGACATGCCACTCCAGACCGGTTCGAGGAGTTCTGTGGCTTCCTTCTGGAGCTTGGTCTTCTTCAAAGGCTTTAACTTCCCGAGGCCTGGTGGTGTCTCAAGCCAGGAAGCTTGCTTTGTTGCTTCTGTCTTGGTGGGTCGACCTTGTCCTTTGCCCTTGCCCGTGCCTCCTTGGCTTGCCTTGAGAACAGGCCACCATGTGCCACATTGGCGGCATCTGGTGTCGGGCTTGAGCTTGTCCTGCCAAATCCAGTTCGTACATTGGCTGTGTCGACATGTGACATAACTCCGGCACCATGAGGTAGATCGAAAGGCCGTCATCGGTCAGATGGAGTGGCACCTCAAAAGCATCCTGCAGTCCTAGGAAGAGGGCACTGACCGGAGCACCGAGCACGAACAGGCAGAGGAGGTTGGCAGTGAAGTAGCCCCAGTTCCCTCCAGAAACCCGAGGAGGAAGCCAGGCGAGCTCTGCCAGAGGTAAAAGGGCTCGACAAGAAAGTCGAAGATGTTCTCCTGATTGCGGGCAAAGGATGTGTTCTAGATGAACTTGTTCCTGGGCCGTCCTTCTTGTGGTAGTGCTGGATATGTTCGCCTGGGGCTTGGCGCACCAGCGGGTCTTCGTTGGCAGCCCGCTTGAACCGCTCACAGCTTGAGCCATGTATGTAATGTATGTATGTATGTATGTATGTATGTATGTATGTATGTATGTAT